GAAAAAAGTTATAAAAATTCAGAACTTACGTCACTTCATTGTGAAGTGGGCGGAGTCATATATGTGTCGGTAGCAAACCTATTCAGTTGAATGTGTGTGTCAAGTAGCAAAAGTGAAAAAAATTCGAAGAAGCAGAATTCATAAAACATTTGGAAAACCACGGCCGCGCTAAGAAGTGGGCGGGGGTGTTGGGGCGGGGCTTGCAGCAGTACCTAGTGTGGTCTAGTTCTCAACTGCCCATTGTAAGGGGTGTGTCCGATTTGATTTGAAAAGTGTCCGATTTGGTTTGAAAAGTGTCCGATTTGGTTTGAAAAGTGTCCGATTTAAAGTGAAAATGGTATACGTTGAGATGGCCGGAATGATCAGTGTGCTTGAGCATTGGACTACGAATTGCAAGATAGTGGAAGACTTCGGCTATAGTGGTAGGACCTTGACACCGAGGACTATGCGCCACAGCAGAGGACAATTTGGAACGTAAAGCACGTCACTTGGTCAACAGTTACTGTTTCTAATCTGGATGATGGGAGCGACGCCAATGCGAGTCGCAGCTATGCGCAGCCAAACATCTCACCTTGTAGATTCCTACGAAGTAGTAGTTGAAGTCCTCGTAAACCTGGAATGAGGCGGTAACCGGTCCATTCTTCATGATTTCCCTCTGAATATTCGTCTCCGAATTTTCCAGGTGAAAGGCGTCTATTCCTGCAAATTTTGTGGATCACAAAAATCAGGTGTGATTGCCCGTTAGGCTGGACAATGGAACAGATATAAACTAGCCAGAAGATCACAACGCCCAAAATGACTTCATGATGATTGACAACTGGCTCTTTCATTGTACCGATTGATGAGTGGAAGCCGTTTCCAGTTCTGAGCCAACATCTCTTTGATCTATTTTTCGTTATAAGAATAAATCTCGCTGGAATGCTGACGAGGCTGTTGGAGTGAGCTTGGGGTGATCAGTCTCAGGAGAATGTCCCTCAGGCAACACGCGTTTTTCTAGGAGCTGTCGCCCCGTCAACCCACCAACCGTCTCGCCCTCAACCCAGCATGGCCTGCGCCGTCGATTTGCAAAAACTACCGCTCAATCAGGTGTACGTAGAAATTCCATTGGAATATGAAACGGATTTCTCTACCGATCGATCGTATTTCGATTGAACTCTTCGGAACCAGAACAGTTGACTATGTACTCACCGTAATACTTGTCATTTTCGTAACATTTTCCGGAACCTATTTCGCATCTCCTTCGGCATGGCGGAGTACTCATGAGAACTGGACTTTTGTAGGAATTCAAGGTAATTGTTTTCTGGGGGAATCTCGTACGGACGGCAACCACACTGCAGAAAAATGGATCGGGAAGTACGCAGAAAACATTATCGGGAACTTATCAAGGCCCTACCATACTACCATAAGTCTCCTCCCGTGACAACACCATCGCTTACAAAGTACCTCCAAGCGTCAATAGCACGTCCTCCATCACACCTAAACATCTTAACATGAAATAGTATGGCACCACTTGAAGATCACAATTTTTGCAAATAACGCTTCAGTCCAAGCAGCGACCTTACAAAGTTGTAGGATCCCACCAAGTATAGGGGCACTGACGCAGGGCAACTTACTGGAAAACAGGCCTCGCCCATGAACAAGTTCTGAAATTGAACCGGTGCGGAAGGTTTAGCGTTCGTCTACAAGGAGCGCAACTGGTGGCACAACACGTCCTTAAAGACACTTCCCGCGATCAAGTGATCCTCAAAATGACTCCATGCCTTTTGAACTGTTATACGCGTTCACAGAGAACATACCACTTTCGTCCCTCAAAACGGCGAGATAAAGAAGTTAGAGACACGTGAGCGTGGCAACACGTGCGACATCATACTGTAGCTGTACGAGACAACGGCTCACAAGCTTCTATTCCTACAACACCCGCGCGGCACGTGTCGCGCGCGGCGCTTCTGGCACTTTGCCATCTTCGGTGATCCGCGCTTTCCATAGCGATTAAGCGCAAACCTCGCACCGTTGGACATAAATTGAAGACGACTTAGGCTGTTTTAGGGTTCCATAGTCTTTGCAAGCGCGATTCCAATTAGGAGGATGTGAACAAAAGAGCAGCAAGCCTTTCTTGAGTTTCATACTCTGCAAGCGATGGGAAGGACGTGAACTGAAGAGCAGGTAGTTCGTCTTCCATACTCGTCGCAAGAGGAGGATGTGAAATGAAGAGCAGTTAGTGTGTTTCTCAGACTCACCTAATGATCTTTCAGATGGGGCACTATTCAGTTGTTACTACCCCAATCTTCCGACATCAGACCAGTTTTACTATCGAGCTTTCTAAAAAAAGCTGAAAGTTTTGTTTCCAGACCGTCCCTCCGAGCACGAATATCGCCAGGGATTGCTTGGCGCTCACACCGAGGTCCCACGTCCTTCACGCGCGACATACTCGTCCAAGACGCCGTTACTGCTGCAGGGAGGTCTGTGTTTAGGGTGTTCCCGAGGTTTTTTCGCTTCTTTTTCTACTGAGGAGCTACTTATGGGGCTTTTTCATGACTAAGCACCAACTACCTGTAACACTTGATCGCGGGCATTGTCTTCAAGGGTCCGTATGGGATAACTTGTTCTCTGCCTCAGATCAGCGCTCACAGTTGTAACCATTTCGATGGCTTTCGACCGTTTCTTTCGACTCTCTGTAGCGGTCACTTAGGGCAGACGATGGCAATGTTGCTATGCATAGCGACGGCAACTGCTGCCTTTAGATCCTGAATTGAACACGAAATCTCACCCATTGCCACAACTTGTGCAGCACGTCATAATGTCGTCTGCAGAGAGAGTTACCTAAAAATCCATGGAATTGAAAGCCGCATGACCGTTCCACTAGCTTGACTTGCAGTACCTTCAGGGTTGCGTTGGTAGAAATGCAAAGGCGATCCGACATCGTGGCAGCCGACGAGACCGCCCAACACGAGCCTGAGAATGTTATCGTTTTTTAACAACACACAGAGAATGCTTGACCAAATCATCATGGTCACTGCTATATTGGCTAGTTGACCTATCTGAGTATAAGCAGCTATCTTGATAAGACTTTTTGGTGAGATGGTCGAAAAGATGTTCTGTAGGCCATTCAAAATACAACAGCGGTAACTCGCACTTACAGGTCATGGAAAGTGTTACCACAATGTGGGGCAGTTTCTACGATGAGCTAGGTAGATAAGTTTTCCTTGTGAATTTGCGAGAACTCTCCAAAGAGCCGGAGAGTCCATGACCGGTGCGCTATTTGCAAAGGAAGAACTGAAGACCCTAAGGGCTCCTAGTTACTGTGGTTGCCATATTTATCATTTACTGTCCCAATCTGAGAACTAGTCCAGTTATTACTAACTTCTTCCCTGGGAAGTAGCTTTGGTTAGAACTTGCTCCCGGATAGTCTGACTAATTGAGCGCAAATATTGTAACATACCGGATGGCACGATAGTCGTTGCGCCACAGACATCTGCGCCAAACACCTCAGTCCATTAAGTTCGCCGAAAGTTTGTCGACGTATGTAGCTCATTACGTAAACATGTATCTCTGCCTTCGTCGAGATGTTAAGGGGTTGTGAAAAAGGATGAGGGACATGCAGCGGCTTCACCTTTTTGGCTCGCTCCCACCCTTCCTCCGACATGAGGATCCGTCCCTCTGCTGAGGCGTCAGAAGGGCTTTCGTTTCGGCACCTGTAGCGCCGGCGCAAGCATTTTCATGCCATGCGCATTGATGTTTGT